ATCTCAATAATTCTGTTAAGTATATGTTAAAATAAAATTTTAGATATATTGAATAAAGTAAAACATATTATTAAAACTAATTTCACCTATTTTACTTTTTTAATGTAGGTACTAGAAAGTTTAAAACTTATTTGGCTCACATTTGTAGCTCATATTGTATTTCTATTGGACAGGGCTGTTCTAAATCATCAGGGCAGCATTTCTTCCTGTAGGGTCAGATAGCTTCACTTTTGAAGAGACATATTTGAGTGAGTTGTAGTATATTTATGCTTTAAAATACCTTCAATTCAAAATATTTTTAACGCATTATCTATTTAATCACTTTCTCTCTGATAGATATGTCCCCCATTTTCCAAATCATACTTATTCTTTATGCCCCTTTCCCAATCTACCTCCTCCTCTTCTTCCCTCCCCTTCTCCCTTCCCCTCCTCCCCTCTAGTAACCATAGATGTTTTCTGTCTGATGGATTAACTATTCCTCTGTTGGTTTGTTTCCTGGATGATCTGTACAGTAATGAGACTGGTGTGATCAAGTCCGCCCCTACTACTGTAAATCAGATGCTTCTTCTATTACTCTGGAGTGTGCTTTGTTGAGAGAGAAGACCTCTTCTTTTTTTTTTGGTCTCTGCTGGTGCCTCTCCTTGTGTCAATGTAGTTGAGAGTCTGGCATGCCGTCTGCACCATGGCTGTGACTGCTGCTATAGAGTCTAGCCATTTTTTCAAGCAGCCATGGCAGCTGTGGTGACTATGCTGAGCTACCCATGTGGAAATGGCGTTTTTGGTGTCCTCTTTGCCTGGCTGTGGCTGGGTTCAGCTTCCCCCGCTCCATGCCTCAGGACCCTGGCCAGGCCCTGAGGTGGTGGTGGCAGCTTGCCTAGTTGCAGCTGGGTCAGGTAGATGGAAAGAAATAATTAAGATCAGAGCAGAACTAAATGAAACAGATACCCCCCAAAATGATACAAAAGATCAATAAAACAGAAAGGTATTTTGAGAAGATAAACAAAATAGACAAACCATTAGCTAGGTTAACTAAAAAAAAGAGAGAGAGAGAAAGAGAAGACCCAAATAACAAAAATTAGAAAGGAAAAAAGGAGACACTACAACCAATACCACAAAAATACAAAGAATCATTAGAGGCTATTATACTATATGCCAACAATACGAAAACCTGGAGGAAATGGATAAATTTCTGTACACATACAAACTACCAAGAGTAAACCAAGAAGAAACAGAAAACCCGGACAGACCAATAACAAACAACAAGATTGAAGCAGTAATCAGCAGTCTCCCAACAAAGAAAAGCCCAGGACTGGACGGCTTTACTGCTAAATTCTACCAGACCATTAAGGAGGAATTAATACCAATTATCTTCAAAGTATTTCAAAAAATTGAAACATAGGCCATTTTTCCAAACTCATTCTATAAGGCCAGCATCACCGTGATACCAAAACCAGACAAAAGCACAACAAAAAAAATAAAACTATAGGCCAAGACTTTGATCAACAGACACAAAAATCCTCAATAAAAATATTAGCAAATGGAATATAGCAACACATCAAAAAAAATTATATACCATGACCAAGTAGGATTCATCCTAGGGATGCAAGGATGGTTCAACATATTTAAGTCAATAAATGTGATGCATCACATCAACAAAATCAAGGACAATAACCACATGATTATCTCAATAAACATAGAGAAAGCATTTGACAAAATTCAACATCTCTTCATGATAAAGACTCCCAGCAAATAGAAGGAAAGTATCTTAACACAATAAAAGCCATTTATAACAAACCCATCACTAATATCATCCTGAATGAGAATAAGACAAGAATACCCACTCTCACTACTCCCACTTAACATAGTATTGGCAGTACCAGCCAGAGCAAAAAGGCAAGATAAAGAAATAAAGGTCATCCAGATTGGAAAATATGAAGTCAAATTATCCCTGTTTACAGATGACATGATCCTATATATTGAAAAGCCAAAAGACTTTATGAAAAAACACTCAGAGTTAATAAATGATTTCAGTAAAGTTGCAGGATACAAAATCGATATGCAAAAATCACTAGCACTTTTATACTCCAACAACTAGCAGAAAAAGAAACCAAGAAAGCTGGTCCATTTACAATAGTCACCATAATTGGGAATCGACTTAACCAAGGAGGTGGAAGATCTCTACAATGAAAACTGCAAATCACTGCTGAATGAAATGAAAGAGGACACAAAAAGATGGACAGATATTCCATGCTCTTGGATTGGAAGAATTAACATAGTGAAATGTCCATACCACCCATAGTGATTTACAGATTCAGTGCAATCCCCATCAAAATACCAGTGACATTCTTCACAGAAATAGAAAAAACCATCTTAACATTCATACGGAACAATTAAAAAAAAA